TGCCCTGCTATTTTTATAAAATTAAGTTCCATTACCCTGGAGACATCTTCTAAAGCAGGGTCAGAAAGCCTCACAGACTCGATGTGGTGCAAGAAGATAGATTATGATCTACTTCACTTACAGAAGTCTATTTGGAAGTCTATTATCATTACCACCTAAATTTGTTAAGGTAGTGACATGTGCTCCTGTATCTCAAAATCTAATCATGGTCTAGTATAAAATTTCTGGTTTACCTCTCAGCTTAAGTACCAGGCGGTCCTGTAAACATAGTAGTCTCCCATCTCTCAGGTTTTCATAGAATGAGCTGTTCCTTAAGTGTTCAATCCTGTATCACTGAAGCCAAAAAGAATGTGTATGATTATTGCTTCTTGCTTTCTTTTCTGAACTTAGCCTTGATTTTTCACAAAGCAACTATCAGCCGTCTGGCAGTTAAACTCTTCAGAGTCATGTAACTAAGCCAGAAAATTTCACATTGCATTATCAAGATCCTAGAGATAACAACATAAAACTTAAGGAATACTGATTGTCCATACCAGAAGTGCCAGTACAAGCACCTAAGATGCTACAGTGATGAATGAGTTGCAGACATGTTAGAGCGAGATATAAAACTACTTTCAGTAATGGATGAATGAATCAAAAGCCCTTAAGGATGATACATGTTATCACAAAGATAAGGATTCAATATTTATGCATGAGCAAAAATAGCAGATGGCTGAAAACAATCAGAATACTTCAAGATGCTCCCATATAGTTAGACTTTGTGAAGCCCATGTTATTTCATCCGGCCAGCTACTAAAAAACCTGATTATTTTATAATCATGTAGGTAAAACCACTAGTAATTTTTGTTGTACTGTATTCCATACAACACTAATTTGCATTTTATATAGAGCTGTCCATCCAACATGACAACACTTCAGTAAGTTAGGCAAATATTCCCATTTAAAGATGAAGAATCTTCTTCCTTTTGTACTAGCTGCCAAGCTTCAAATGACTGGTTCCAGGTAACTGTTAAGAGGAGGTCCTTTAATTAAATCATCTCAGACAAGTCTCACTGGGGCACTAAGAATAAATCCAGCGGATCTAGGGATTGCTTCTAAGGGGGGAAAAAAAAAAGTGTAATATGGGAACCGTCATGATTTGACCCAGTCCATCAGCCTAACTCTAACCAGAACCAGTAGCAGATAAGGCAAGAATTTAAAAAAAAAAGCGGGAGACATACACAGTGATCCTTCCCATAGTATACTCTGAGATTAGTGCAATGAGTATTTCAAGAACTTTCCAAGTTAGATATTATATCCAGATCATAAAACTTAATAGCAATCTGCACAATTCTGCTCTACAAAAGCACTTAAATAATTTTTGAAGACTAATGTGGTCTTCGCCAAAATGTCTTGTGGCAATGAGTTCCTTGAATGAAGGTACGATGAAGACGATTTAGAGCAAGTATTCCAATCCCCAACTTTTAGCTCCGCTGAGTAATTTAACACTATACTTCAAAATACAGCCTAAGGGCCTAATTAGGTCTGCTTGTGTTAGTAACTTCTCACAGGCTACTGACTGTGATACCTAATTATGTCTTAAATATAATTTTAGATAATTAAGGTTGAAATCTTTGTTGCTATCTCCAAATTGGACTATATTGAGGTATCCAAAATACAGGGCATTTTTGCAAAGTATTATTAATTTTGCCTGTTGCCTAATTTCCTTATTTGTATAGTAAGACAGAAAAATATAAACATTTATGTTACACATAACTTATGTGAAATATTTGTAAGATATCTGAATGCTTAACATATAATATTTTATGCAACTGAATGAACCGAAAAGAACCTTTCAGCAAGATCTTTATACCCCCTATTTTAAAGTTCCACAAATGGCTCGATGTCCAGATGGAGACGGGTGACGAGTGCTGTCCCTCAGGGGTCCCTACTGGGACCGGTGCTGTTTAACATTTTCATCAATGACTTAGACAGCGAGATCGAGTGCACCCTCAGCAAGTTTGCGGATGACACCAAACTGAGTGGTGCGGTTGACACACCAGAAGGATGGGATGCCATCCAGAGAGACCTGGACAGGCTGGAGAGGTGGGCCTGTGTGAACCTCATGAGGTTCAACAAGGCCAAGTGCAAGGCCCTGCACCTGGCTTGGGGTAACCCCTGGTATCAGTACAGGCTGGGGGAAGAAAGGATCGAGAGCAG